TACACTATGAAGTCACATCCAGTCTGAATTACTTCTATGGCATATGTTACAAATACACCCAAACTTCCCATCCGTCGAGTGTATACTTACTTCCACAGCATCTATGTGAGGTACAAAGTGGTAACGTTTTACTTCTAAGGCAGGTTAGGGTTGATGCACTTAGTTGCAAGGGGGAAGCTCTATGGGATCCTTCCAAAATGTCTGTTTCTTTGGTTTTAGACACCAGCTATCTTTAAGAAATAACCTGGCTTTCCCAGGGCTACCAAGCTCAGGAGGGGGAAGCCAGGGAAAAGCAGAGCACCAGCCCAGTGCTTCCACCACCATGCCATTTTTTCTCATTTTGTACCTTTGACTCACTAGCTGTTTTCAGGTGTTTCAGTTTCCAATTTGGAGGTACATTCTGCCCACGTTTCCCTTCCCTGTTTGGTCTTCCCTATATGAAGCGCAGGTGAAGCTGCTTTGGGAGCGATGTGGATGCTAAGCTTGGCTTTTCGCATTTTGGCAGCACGTGCACAGTTGTGCTCCCTCTTAGCATAAACAAGGGATCAGACTTCCTCAACCCAATCAGCAGAATACATTTCCTTTGGCCACAGACATTTCTGTCAGAAAGGTCAGATCATTACACCAAAAAATATTCATATCCAACCCGTCGGCCCAAGGCGCGTCCCTGCCTTCCTGCCTTAGCTTCAGTGCTGCGAATAGACAGCTTCAAAAGGTCCCTTCTCTCAGCTGCCCCCGGTCTTCTCGGCCACATCTCCCTCCCTCTGCCTGCACAGCCTGCTGGGCTCCCCCCTCAAGCCTTACACAGTTCACCTCTACTGTAATGACACACACTTAAAAAATGCAGAGGCTAAAAAACAAACAAAAAAGTGTGTGTGTGTGTGTTTGTGTTTACCAAAACAAGACACCTCTATGCACTTTTCACCTGGGACGTGACAAGAGAACAAACTATGGCAGATGTTAGCTGTGCTGTTTATGGATGGCACAGAGGTACTCTGAAATGGTGGCAATAAACGAAACTTCACAACTTCTAGAGGAGGGACAGAGCAGAGCAGCGTCAGAGCAGGCTGCAGGGAATCAGCCGGCACAGCCTAAAGTCCAGTACGAGGTGGGACTGGTGATCGCAGTGCAGGAAGGAAAGGCAATAAATCGCTCTCCTGCATTTGGGAGGAAGCCAGATGAAGTACCCATGTCACGAGGGTGAGACACTTTCCACTGAGACGGTAACTCAGGAAGATGTTAAGCAACAGATGCATAAGGCAAATGTTAAAAACTCAGCAAGTCCAGATATCTTACACCTCTAAGTTTTAAAAAAGTCTTTTTTTTTCAATCTGAACTGTTAATGTTGATATCTAATACGGCAAGGAAGACTTGAGAAGCTCTGGAGATCCAGAAGAAAGCTAATATTATGCCAGCATTTATAAAGAGTAAACAGGATGGCCTTGTAAACAGGTGTGTCATATAGTCATTCCATGCAAAATAATGACTGAAAAATATGTGATCATATTGATAAAGACTTAAAGCAGAGAAATATAAATACCAATTAACAGAACTTACAGGCAATAAACTTGCCAAACTAACGTGATAGTTTTTGTGCCACTCTATATTTTTAAATATCTGAAAGACATTTGACTTGTACTTCAGCATGTGTGATCAAGGAACAAGGATATCTGCAACCTGGTCAACTGTGAGAAGAAATGCTCCCGGGGGAGTTGGCACAGGTGATGTATTTCTAGCAGGAATGCTAAATAGCATAAAGCCCTGGAAGGAAACAAAGGAATGACTGATAAAGTGTGCAGTCACGGGAACTGGGGCATGGCCAGAAGTAGAGACACCAAGTCAGCGATCTGGAGCTGTTGGGAGCATCCAGGCAGTGGGGCTGCATGACAAGACGCGTCCGTTGCCTGCGCTGGAGCCCAAGCAGTGCCCAAGGGGAGGATTTGGGTGCTAGACTCAGTCTGTCTGGGTAAATCAGTACTTGTGCTCTCAGTCATGCTCCCGCAACCCATCCGAGGCCCAAAGAGCCAGTTATATATATAATATACATATATATATATATATATAGTGGACAAAGTCAGGGAAGACCCCGTGAGGATTTGCCACGATGCCCTGGGTGCGGGGGGAGCGCTCCGAGCGAGGCTGTGCTTTTATTCTGATGCAGTGCACGAGGAGCGGTGAATCCCAGTTGGACTTACTGGCCACAGTGACAATCAGCAGACCATGAATTTCCAATGTGAGTTCATGGGTAAAAGGCCTGCTCATGTTCTCTGTCTACACATTCACGCACTGGCAGCGACGGGATGAGAGGTTAAAGTAACTCTGCGTTTGACGTTCCTGTTCCCACAGTCGGAATACCGCGTCCGAGTCCAGCGTCCGCAGCTCCCAGAGGTCACCGATACGTAAGGAGGTTTGAGGGAGAGCCAAAGACTGGAAAACAGAAAACATGCCTTAAAGCAAAAGGCTCTGGAACCTCCATCAGTTCAGTCTATCATGAAGGATGAGGAAAACTTGATCATAACGATATACAAATTCCCCTCTGTGGGACTCAAGGGCCCCCTCCCTGGCTGAGAAGAGCCGGCGATTTAAAGGGAATTAAAAAAATAGAGCCTCAATATTTAAGGTGCAGGCCTTTTACAGTACAGAAAATTGACCTTTGGAACCCCCCCCCAGCCACTACAGCAGAAATTTATCAGTTCAAGATCAACTGTTTTGCTAACAGCAGTGCTCTAATGTAGACAAGAATGAATGCAGGGCAGTCCCACCAGCCTGTGTCATGCAGGAAGTTACACTGGCTGAGCCTAGCAGGCCACTCTGACTCTATAATCTATGGAAAAAACCCTGCCTGTTTTTCCCTTCCTCCCGTCCAAGTGTGTGAAAGGTCTGGCCTGCCCCGCTGGAGGCCAACTGTTTTGCTAACAGCAGTGCTCTAATGTAGACAAGAATGAATGCAGGGCAGTCCCACCAGCCTGTGTCATGCAGGAAGTTACACTGGCTGAGCCTAGCAGGCCACTCTGACTCTATAATCTATGGAAAAAACCCTGCCTGTTTTTCCCTTCCTCCCGTCCAAGTGTGTGAAAGGTCTGGCCTGCCCCGCTGGAGGCGTTTTCGGGAGAGCCAGGTTAACTGCAGTGGCAGGG